TTCCCGGAAGAGGCAGGAGGTAGCTGGGTCCCGAAGGGCCGTTAAGGTTCGGAGAAGGAGGCAAGGAGTGTGGGACAAGTGATGCTATACAGACAGGGGACAGGGAAGAGGCTTTAGGGGTGAGCACAAGAATGTGTGCTGGCTAGATCTGGTGGGCCCATCCAGGGGAAGGCCTCGAATGCTGGGCTGACAAGTTTGGACTGCATCCCACAGCGAGGCTTAGGGGAGGTTATGTTGTTCAGGATTCGGGGCTTTGTGTGATTCCACATCACACCGTGGAAGGATCGGAGTGGTTAGTGCTGGTCTCTGTGGGGGTCCAGCCTGTTGGAAGGGCACAGGATTAGGGGTCAGGTTGATGCCAGCTGCCTGCCCTCACTGCTCCTGGCTCTGCTTGGCCCTGCTGCCCTTAGCTTGGTCAGGACGGACTTGGAGGGTAATTAGAGTACCTTGATTCGTTCACACCTCTTTGGTCATTATGACCCCTGGGATAAATGGTGTAGGTGTGGCTGAAGGGCAGGCCCAGGTGTGTGTGCCTGGAGGTGAGAGAAAGGACTGTGTGAGTCCCTTTCTAGAAACCAGCCCCGATCCTACGGGATCACCTTGAATGGGCTGGTGGGATACTGTGGCGTGAGAGGGAGAGGAGGCGCTGTGTGGGGCAGGGACGTGGGCTGGGGTCAGATCTCTGTTTGGATGTGTGGCCTTGGATAAGTCACTTCCCTTCACTAGGTCCCCTCCTTTCTTCATCTGGAAACTAGGGGTTCAAAGGAAGGAGGTTGGGCTCTGGAATCAGGGGGCCTGGGTTGGAGCCATCTGCATGGCCTTGGATGTCTCTTCCTCTCCCTGGGCCTCAGGCCCTTCCTCTCAGATGAGGGGCTTGGTCTTCTTGGTCTCTGAGGTCCCTTCTCTTTCTTTCTTTCTTTCTTTTTTTTTTTTTAATTTTCACATTAGTTCTGTTGTAAGGAAGAATTAGAACCAAGAGAAGGAACCACCAGAAAGAGGAAATAAAACAAAACACAACAAAAGAAAAATTGCAAATAGTATGCTTCGATCAGCATTCAGACTTCATAGTTCCTTCTCTGGATGTGGACAGCATTTTCCATCATGAGTCTTTTGGAGATGTCTTAGATCCTTGTATTGCTGAGAAGAGTTAAGTCTATCAAAGTCAGTCATCGAACAGTGTGGCTGTTACTGTATATAATATTCTCCTGGTTCTGCTCACTTCACTCAGCATCAGTCCATACGTCTTTCCAGGTTTTTCTGAAGTCAGCCTGTTCATCATTTCTTATAGCACAATAGTATCCCATTACATTCATATACCACAACTTGTTCAGCCATTCCCCAGTTGATGGGCATCCCCTCAACTTCCATTTCTTTGCCACCACAAAAAGAATGGCTATAAATATTTTTGCACATGTGAGTCCTTTTCCTGTTTTTATGCTGTCTTTGGAATACAGATCTAGAAGTGCTACTGCTGGGTCAAAGGGTATGCACAATTTTATAGCCCTTTGGGCATAGTTCCAAATTGCTCTCCATAGTGGTTGGATCATTGTACAATTTCACCAGCAATGCATTAGTGTTCCAATTTTCCCACATCTTCTCCAACATTTATCATTTACCTGTTTTGTCATGTTGGCCAATCTGATAGGTGTGATATGGTACCTCAGAGTTGTTTTGATTTGCATTTCTCTAACCAATCTGAGGTCCCTTTTCATCCCACATCTGTGAGATTCTCTGACTTCACTCCCTGTGCCCTTCCTAGTGGAGCTGTGGGCCCAGCTCTTTGTCACACTGGTCAGTAGAGTGTGCCAAATCGGGACTCTCCATCCCAGGACATAAGTGGGAGGTTTGCCCAGGGTCCCAAGGTGAGCCTCAGGTCTGCCCGCCTCCAGTTGTGGTGGCCAGATGTGGTTCAGGTAGAAGGACCCAGACCAGGACTCCTGGCATTCCTGGCTGGGGCTGAGCCCTGCTCCGGGAAGGAATGGAGGTAGGGCCGGTCCTAGCATCTTAGACTCTTGTTGGGTTCTGCCTCTTATTTTAAGGAGGAGGCAGCTGAGGCCCCAAGTTGAGACAGGTGAGTGTCCAAGCAGGGACCAGCAGCCTGCTAGCCTGCCCTGCTCTCTACTGGCTGAGGCCATTCTTTCTCACACCAGCTCTTCCCTCAACCCCCCGGAAACGAGTGGGAGGGGTGGGGAGAGTGCCTTCTGCTGCTGCCCAGCTGCCCGCTCTCTTCAGCCTCTTGTCCCTCACCCTGTCCCTGCTTCCTTCTCTTCTTCCGCCCATTCCTGGCCTCTCGTGCCCTGTGTGGTGAGTGCCGGATGTAGGATTGTGCTTGCGTCTTCTCGGAGGTTCAGCTTCTCCATCTGTGCAGTGGGCACAATCACCACTGAGGTGAAGGCACGTGAAAAGACTGTCCGCTGAGGAGGGAGCCCTGCGCCTGCCCGTCATCATCATGGCCCGGATCCAGAGGCTCACATCACAGAGCAGGGCGCCCTTTGTGTCTGCATATAGGCTAGTCGGGAACTTGAGGAAGGGACCTTGCAAAGGGAGCCAGGGCATGGGCAGGGAGGCAGCACCCACAGAGATGCTGCCCCCTCACTGCCAGACTTCGGGATTCCATTAATTTCTCCAAGAGTGTGCTGGCCTCCTCTGGGCCAGGGGTCAGTGATTGATCTATTGACTCTCTTCCTGACAGAGCCTTGAAGCTTACAGGTCACCACTCCTGGCTCCTATAAATCTTAATCAAAAGCTGGAAGGTGGTGTCCTTTCTTTGTCCCTTCTGGCGCGGTGTCCTTGCCTGTCCTGGGAGAGTCACTGGAACTCAATAAGGGAGGGACCCTTCTTACCTTCTGGGAAAGGGCTTTGGTTTCTCCAGGAAGGTGGGTGGGTGTGTGTGTGTGTGTGTGTGTGTGTGTGTGTGTGTGTGTGTGTGTGTCTGTGTCTGTGTGTCTGTGTGTCTGTGTCTGTGTGTGTGTGTGTCTGTGTCTGTGTCTGTGTCTGTGTCTGTGTCTGTGTCTGTGTCTGTGTCTGTGTGTGTGTGGGGTGGGGGGATTTTCCTGATGCTCATGCTCTTACAGAAGGGTTTGTAGAACAGGGTCTTGGCTTCTCTACCTCTCATCTCAGGCTGTGTGAAAAGAGGCAGAGTGTATAGAAACAGAGAGGTGACCATCCCTCTCTGTTCTCTGCCCTCATCAGACCTTACCTGGAGGATTGTGGTCGGTTCTGGACAACATGACTTAACGAGGACATTGAGAGACCAGAAACCAGCCAGAGGAGGCCAGCAGAGAGGGGGAAGGGCCCAGAGTTTATGCTGTGTGAAAATTATTTGAAGGGCAGTTGGGAAGGGTTAGCCTGGAGAAGGGAAAACGGGAGGCCTTTAGCATTCTATTGGGCTGTCGGGTGGAGGAGGGGTCCTTGTACTAGACCTCAGAGGACCGAAGCAGGACAGCAGTCACAAGGGCTGCTGAACTGGCCCAGGGAATGGCAGTCCATCCTCCATTCAACCACCACACTGATATTCCTAAACACAAATTGAGGCTTGTTGTCAGGAGGAACATTCTAATAATGAGAACCGTCCCATGGTGGCATGGGCTGCCTTGAGAGGTGGGGAATTTTCCCTCTTGGAGGTCTGGGAACAGAGGCTGGACGGCCGCTTGTTGACATGTGGGGATTCCTGCCAGGTATGGGCTGGACTGGACACCGCTGAGCTCCCTTCTGTCCGCCAAATCCCGATTCTGTGCATCGTTTGGAGAGAGCCGGGGCTAAAGAAGCTCAGGAGATATGGGCATAGGTGGAGGTGGACCCTTTTCTAATTGGCTGCTTCTCAGCTCCTTCCAGGCTTCAGCACCCTTGTTCTCAGGAATCCCCTCTCTCCTTATCAGGAGCGCATCAGGAAGGGCCTGGCCTCTCTTCTAAGTCCTTGTATCCCAGGTGTCTTGCGCAGCTTGGGAGCTTGCGTGTTTCTGCAGTGTTTCTCCAAGGGCTGTTTACCAAAGTCAGGCCCAAGGTTTTCCTCCAGGACCCTCTTTGGATTATCTGTTTAGAGGCAGAATGGGGAGGTCATCTAATCCAATCCCCTCACTTGAGGAATCTGAGGCCTGATGAGGTTAAAACCACTATCCCAGTTGCAGGGCCACAAGGGATACCCACAAAGAGCCACACTGAAAAGTGCCCCTCGTGCTCCTTTGTTCCCCCTCCCTCCTTATCTCCACCTGGCTTCCCTTCAAAGCACGATTCCAATGTCACCTCCTCCACAAGGCCTTTTCTGAATGGCCTTGAAGCGAGTATCACCATCTGCTTTTTGCAGTTTCCTTGTGGGTTGTCTTATTTATATTCTGTAACCTTGTGGTGGAAGGTGAGCTGCTTTAGGATGAGGATTGTTTCATTTTTGTCTTTAAGTCACCAGCGACTCATAGTTCACGTGTTAGGAACATAAGAAATGTTTGTTGAATTGAATTAAAAAAAAAAGTCAAGCATGTGATCAGGGGCATAGGACGCTCAGAAGGCAGACTTTGACAGGAGTGGGTTGGTACGGCTGCAGGAGAATAAGAGAAACCAGCAGGAGCGCATCTTTCTCTGGGTGTCGGACACCACCCGGACATGGCGAAGGTGTTGTCTCCCATGTTGCCGCTGGCCTCACCCAGGCAGTGGCAATCCATCCTCCATTCAGCCCCCACAGTGATATTCCTAAAGTCACCCCCTTACTCAGCAAACTCCAGGGGCTCGCCATCGCCTCCAGGATTAAATACAAAACACTCCTTCGTGACCTGGCTCTGACCTACCTTTCTGGTTTTTTTCTTTTTTTTAAAATTAATTGATTTCGAATTATCAGCCATCACTTCCATGAGCTTTTGAGTTTAAAATTTTTCTCCCCCTCCCTTCCCACCTCCCTCCCCAAGGTGGTGCGCAATCTGATACAGGCTCTACATATATATTCCTATTACACCTTTCTGGTCTTCTTAAACTTCAAACTCTGACGTGTCCTCTTCCGTCTGGTGACACAGACCTCCTGACTGTCCCAGCAACAAACCTTCCTCTCTCGGCTTTGGGCATTTTCTCTGGCTGTCCCCCGCATCTGGCATGCTCTTCCTCATCTCCGCCTCCCAGCTCCCTCTGAGTCCCAGGTAAAATTCATCTTCTCTTGGAAGCCTTCCCTCTGTTAACTGTTTCCTGTTTATCCTTTGTACATATTTGCATGTTGTCTCCCCTTTAGACTGGGAGCTCCTTGAGGGCAGGGACTGTCTTTTGCCTCTTTTTGTATTCCCATGGCTTAGGTGTTTAATAAATGTTTATTGACCCACTGTCACCATGATTGATGAGGGCGTGTTGATAGCTCAGTGCAGCCCCTGGGGAGGAGGGATGTGAGGAAAAGCTTTCCCAGAGTGACGCAGGCCCCGGGACCACCCTTGCCCCCCAGATGGAGGTGGGATGGGCAGATGAGCAATGCTGGGGGTGTTGCAGAGGAGACGGCTGGAGGAGAGGTGGGATGGTGTAATGGACAGTGCTGGACCAGGGTGTAGGGTGTTGGGTGTGGGGCAGGGGTATGGATCTCAGCACCCTTCCATGCTCTGACACACGCAGCGTGGCCTTGGGCAGATCTCGTCATCTCTTTGAGAGCTGTCACAGGGGGGCAGTGACGCTTGCCTTTCTCTGCCTCCTGGCACCATTGTGCTTGGCCAGCCTCAAGCTTATGGTTCCAGGTTGGATGTGCAGGCCTTGAAGGTCCCTCTCAGCTTTAGGCCCTGGGCATATCTGTCCTCCCGATGAAGACACTCATGTACATAATTTCGGAGTGGGGTCTGAGGCTTGTGGGAAGAGGGGCCAAAGCCACATCCTGACACTGATCTCTTTTCTTGAGGGGAAGCTGGTTGTAGCTTGACCTGGATTATGTTTCAGAAGCAAGTGCAGACCCAGAGAGAAGGGAGCGAGGAGGGCATCAGCAGCCGGTGGTGATTCTGCTGGGCTGGGGAGGCTGCACAGACAAAAACCTGTCCAAGTACAGTGCCATCTACTTCAACAGGGTGAGTGAGTGGCCTGCGCCACTTCTGTCTGCCAGGGCGCCTCAACGGACCCCCAGGCTCCAGCCTGGCCACTTCTCTCGCCTTTCTGTGCTGGGAAGGTGGGAGCAGGAGCTTATGTCTATGGGCGGAGAGCACTGATTATGGACCTGTCGTGTACAGGGCCCTGTGCTTGGCACTGTATGGAGAGGAAAAGAACAGATCAGGGTTCCAAGGGGAGGATGGGAGCAGCTCTCATCTCAGGTAGGGGCAGGGGATGGAGAGGAGGCAGGAGCCACAGTGTTGGCGGGTCTTGAGAGCCGAGCCAAAGGGTGTTGGGGAGTGGCTGAGGCTGGGCTGGTCTTAGCTCCTCCTTAAAGACAGGCCCGGGTTCAGGGCAGAAGATCCCTCGTCCTTTGCTGAGAGGGCCTCCTGGCCTTGGCAGCCATGCTTCTGGGTAGGGAGGCACAGCTTTCCCTTCCCTCTGCCCTGCCTGGCCTGTTCCCCAGTCTGGCTGCCTCTGAGCCCCAGCTCACTGGACGAGGGGGTGGCTTTGAAGGGCACACACAGGGTCTCCCTGACAGCATCTCCTGCCACTTCACATGGCTAGGAACATAAATTCCTCCCCAGGCCTGGTCTGCCTCTGGTGGGGTGAGCTCCCCAACACTTGTTGCTTGGCCCTCATACAGCCCTGAGATTCTGGGATTTTTGCTCTCCTGGGCCTGCTGATTTCTTCTCTCTTAGAGCTTTGTGAAATAGTCTGTGTTTATGATGGTAACGAGGTTTTCTCCCTTCCAAGGCTGGCCGAGCCTCTGCCTCCTTGACGCTGCCCTGTGCTTTTCTCCTGGGTCTTCATCTAATCCAGATGAGGAAATCAGCCCAGAGAGGGGCAGAGGCTAGCTCATAGTCACACAGCTCCTCAGTGATAGGGCCTGGGTAGACCTCAGCATTTCTGACCTCCAGTCCTGGGATCTTTCTCTCCAGGTTCTCATTTGTCTTGGGCAGAGTGAACAAATTCCTTTTTCTCTGAGTTCCGCTGAGACAAGATTGGATTTTTTTTGAAAGGCATTTTTACTAGGAAACAGACAAACAAAATGATGAGGCCTAAAGATGGAGTGTAGAGCCCTTTCCCTAGTCACCACTGTACTCCTTTCTTGTTAGGTCCTGGACCTTCACTCTCAGCTTGGGAGTGGGGCCTCTGGGCTGCCCTCCTGGGCTGGTGCCAGTTCTCCTGGCGCCCGGCCCTCCTGGTGCCAGTTCTCCTGGCGCCCGGCCCTCCTGGTGCCAGTTCTCCTGGTGCCCGGCCCTCCTGGTGCCCGGGCCTCCTGGTGCCCGGCACTCCTGGTGACCGGCCCTCCTGGTGCCTGGCTGTCCTGGCAGCCTTCCTGCATCTTGACTCTGGGCCCAAGCCCATTCACTGGTTGTTTGCTTCTCATCAGGCCCTGGGCTGGGGGCCTCCACTCTACCCCTTGAGCCAAAGTCAGACTGACCCCATCCCCTTTCATGCCGATCCCCATCAGATCCAGGATCCATCGAATGACACCCCCATGAGCTTCTGATGGCTAAAAGACCCTTCAGGCTTTCCCCTCATTGGGCAGGGCATCGATGACTGACAGGCATTCAGCACAGTGAGTCCCTGGCTGGACCTTTCTGGGTTCAGGGACCTCTCGGGAAGTGGCATTCTCATATCCCAGCCCTGTGTTTTTAGGGAGCAGAATTTCCCACGGCTTCACTAAGTAAAGGGCCTGGGTCTCCTGCCTCCTCTGGCCTTCTCTCTTTCCCTTCCCCTTCTGTCTGTGTCCCATGGGGTCCTGGAAAGGGCGTGGCTTTGGGCGTGTTCTCCGCTGCCCCCCTTCCCCTTCTCTGTCCACACGTGTGCTCCCTTCAAGCTCAGCCCAGAGCCCCCTCCTGCAGCAGGCCTTTCTGATCCCCCAGTCACTAGTGCCTCCCCCCGCCCCCAAGCTACCTTGGACATGGTGTATGCCCTGATAGAATGGCTGCTCCTTGAGGGCAGGGACTCTTCTGTTGTTGAGACAAACAACATCCCCAGGGCCTGGCACATAGTAGGTGCCTAATAAAGTGTTTGTGGGTTGATTGGGGCACGCCAAGGATTAGGAAGGCTGCTTGAGTAGTGTCCCAGGGATGGGGCTTGCCACGCCTTCCTGTGTCTGATCTGAGATGAACCCTATCTAACCAGAAGGAATTTGCGGGGAGGCCATAGGGCCTCAGGAGCAGTGCCTTCCTCTTCATTGCTAAGGGTAAGGCAAGCTTTGAATTCCAACTTTTCCTTCTTTGGAGAGAGGGAAATCAAGGTACAGAATAGAGAAGTGGCTTATCCACAGAATTCTAAACATGTCGGACTCACTGAAGGTGTCTTGGGTAAGTGGTAACAGCAAATCAGTGGCCAGGGCAAGATTGGGACCCAGAGGTCCCAGGGTCCTGCCTCTTGGACATTGTGAATGGAGATGTAAGGGGCGGCTCTGCCTTGGCTTCATTCTGCAGCATTCCCCTCCTCCCCAGGATGTGCCCAAAAGAAGGTTAAGGTGTCCTGGAGGTGCTGGGGACCCCGGAGGATCCCTTGTGGTGGCATATGCCTCCGTCTGACCCAGTGTGGACACCCTTTCGTTGCATGGTCCCTTTGGCCTGATGCCGCTATCTGTGGAAGGAGCTTAAGGTTAGGGGATGTCGGGGACCTTGCAGAGTGGGGAGGAGGGAAGGAAAACTGAGCTGCTCCTTGGGCTCTGATGGTAAAGCAAGAGCAGCAGAGGAAGAGAGAAGGAAAGGGAGAAGAAGAGAGGGAGAGAGGAGGGAAGGAAAGAGGCAGAGACAGAGGAGAGGAGAGGAAAGATGGAGGGAGGAGAGAGACACACAGAGAAAAGGAGGAGAGAGATAGAGACAGACACAGAGAGGAGACAGAGCAGAGGGTGTGACCAAGGACCCCGGAAGGAGGAGCTGGGTCCTTTTGGAGAGGCTGGAGGAGCCCAGCCTTTGTCCACTGGCTGCTCAGGACTGCACCCAGCCCTCCAGGCAGGCAAGGCTGTGTACAGGGAGCCAGGCTGGCTTCTGGTCTGTCTTGGATGCTGAATGTCACCTCCCTTGTCTCATCTCTGTCCCCTCCCCTTATTTCCTCTTGGCTGGGTGAGTTATTGAGGGTATATATAGAATCTTGTGCTTAGGTGTCCCGAAAGCCGAGCTGCATGTGTGAAGGCTAGACAGTAGTCGCCCTGTAAAAGATCCAGAGGTCCTGGTGGGCTGCTGGCTCAGTAGGAGTCCCACTCCCCCCATGCGATGGCAGTGAGAGGAGCACGTTGGGACCTCAGCTTCAGGCCTATGGCAGGGACAAGAGGGAAAGGGAGACCCTCTCCTCTCCCTCCGCCCCTTCCCATTTAAAAAGGAGATCCTAGCAGGTGCCTGGATGGTGAAGGGATTCCCTCGGGAGTCATTTGAGGAAAGGAGGATGGTGAGCCAGGAGAGAGCTAGATCCGTGGAAGAGGTTAGATTGCCCCTCTGTGGGGGATGGGGAGAAGGCACGGCTCAGTGTAAGGAGCTTAACTGAAGGCTCGTTGCCCCGAGACAGTTTCTCCAGGATGTGGTAGAAGAGATTGAGCCAGATGACACAAGGCCCCTGGCCCATGTGGGCCTTGGGTCCCAGGTCTACTGACCTGCAGCCCGGGGGGGCTCCCCCCGCAAAAAAAAGAACAAACCCCAAACTGGACTGCTGCTGGTGCCTGAAGTTGATAAGCTCTGGGAGGACAGGCCTGCTTCTCATTTTGACTTTGTGTCTGCAAAGAGTGGGCGCCTAGTGTTTGCTGAACTGAACTTCTGAAAGGCCTCCTCCCCAGCCTTCGGATATCACGGAGACTCAAACTTACCTCACTCTCCAGCTTTCTAGGGTCTCTGCCCCTCATGGCTCGGTGGGTTAGAGTGAGTCCTTAGCCCCTGGCCCGGTGTGAAGGCCCAGCAGTTTGGGGTGGTTGGCTGCATTAGACTGTCTGAGCTGGCCTTTAGCTCCGAGGCTGTGATTTTGGTCTTCTAGGCCGGCTCCCTCCTGTGGGTGGGCAGGTGGGGTCTTTGGGCCCCGTCCTCTGCCCCGGCCTCCCCCATTGGGCTCTTGGCTGGTTCTGTGGAGCAGTGAGCAGAGGCCGAGCTTTGGAGCTGACCTTGCGGGTTGGGGGGTATCTCTGCACCCCACAGGGATGCATCGTGATCCGCTACACCGCCCCCTGGCAGATGGCCTTCTTCGCGGAGCCCTTCGGCATCCCCTCCCTGCGCAGCCCTGCCAAGAAGCTTCTGGAACTGCTCTTTGACTATGAGATTGAGAAGAAGCCCCTCCTCTTCCATGTGTTCAGCAACGCCGGGGTCATGCTGTACCGCTACGTCATCGACCTGATCCACACGCACCGCCAGTTCAGCCACCTCCGGGTGGTGGGCACCATCTTTGACAGCGCCCCCGGCAACAGCAACTTGGTGGGGGCCGTGCGGGCCCTCTCCACCATCCTGGAGAGCGAGCGGCCGATGCTGCGCTTCTTCCTCCTCCTCACCTTCGCCCTGGCGGCCGTCCTCGTGCGGCTGCTGCTCACCCCGGTCACCGCCATCTTCCACGTCAACTACTACGAGGCGCTCATGAAGCAGTCATCGCGCTGGCCCGAGCTCTACCTCTACTCCAAGGCCGACCGCATTATCCGGGCCTGCGACATTGAGCACATGGTGGTGGCTCGGCTGGAGCAGCAGGTGCTGGTGCGGGCCGTGGACTTCTCGGCCTCGGCCCATGTCAGCCACCTGCGGGACTACCCCACCTACTATACCAGCCTCTGCCTCTCCTTCCTGTACAATTGTGTGCATATGTGAGGGCTCCCCTCGGGTGCTCCCCTGCCCTTTCTGCCCAGAAATAAAAGTCGGCTCCCCCTCCAGCCTGGGCTGCTGCCTCTCTGGACCCCTGCACTCTTCTCCGCCCTGGGTGCCAGCCAGGCTTTGGCTGGCAGAAGCAGTGGCCCATTCAGGGGCCGGGAGGTTCATGGAGCACCTTCCTCCCTTTTCCTTGGCAGTCCCCCAGCCCCAGGGGGTGGCAATGAGCACAGGCTGCGGAGGGGGCCTTGGGTCAGGTTATTGACCAGACTCCCCCAGCTGCCTCTCCCACCACAGCCAGAGGAAAGTGCACAGATGGAGACCAGAGGCAGGGGTTGGGGATGATGGCAGCTACACCTGGGTAGGGCGTTAGGCCAGCCCAAGCTTGCAGAACCGGTGGGAGACACTGGCTGGTGTTTACTCACTCCAAGCCTCATTGACTTGGTTTTGGCTTCCAGCGGTAAAGGTGGCCTGGAGTTGTAGCCCAGTGGCTTGGGGGACAGGCTAGTGGTGGCTTAGTGGACCCCTGCCCACTAAGCCTGGCCCAGGTAGGGGAAGGCTGTCCCAGGGGCATGTGGGACTCGGGCCTGGGAGGCCAGGCTTTAGGGGAGAACCTCCTTTACTGATACTTGCCAGACCACTCAAGGGGCCTTTCTCCCTTCCACTGGTTTACTCCACAATGAACTGCAATTTGGAGTTCAGCAATCTTGAATCTGTACCTGACCCAGTTTTGGTCATAGAGAGCTCAGGAGTGCTCAGAATGGGACCAGAACCCCGTGTCTCACATCCCCCCACCAGAGTCATCCTGTCTCTGATGGGAGCTGCCCCCTCCCCCAGGCGGCCTCTTCCACAACTCTTACTGTTATGGCCTTTCTCCTGACATCTCGCCTCAGTTTGTCTCTGCATCCGCCCCCGGCCCCTTTGCCTCTTGGCCTCTCCAGGCCCTAAAGCAGGGACCGTCTACCCCCCTCCCCACCCCTTTAGGCCTCTTCCCAGGAGTCAGCTGATTTTCACAGAACCTGAGCTCAGGGCTCTTCCCAGCTTGGCATCCTGCACTGGATGTGTTCCAGCCCATCCATATCCTTCCTTACCCATGGTGTCCAGGGCTGGGCACGTCCTGCAGACCTAGCTTGCCCAGGCTACTGCAATCATTGCCTCTAGTGGGGATGCCCCTTGGTTTTCTCAGCTGCTGTGTCAGCTCACCGAGCTGGCAGCCCTCTAACCCCTCAAGTCTTGATCAGACGAACTGCCCTGTAGACACGCCTTCCTGTCTTGGACTCAATGAACCCAGGTGTAAGACTTTCCAATTTGGTCCATTGCTGTAGCCCTGGCAGGGTGTTCTTGCACCTTCTCATCCTTCCAGTGTGACCTGTCCCTTCCTCCCAGTTCTGTGTCACTTGCAGATTTAATGAAAATGTCATCCATGTCTCTAACAACCCAGGGTCCTGCAGAGATCCCTGGGACCCTCCACTGGAGACCTTCCAGGGTGCCATTTGTGATCCTTTTTTGACTGTGGCCAGCCACCATACATGGGGGGAAGGAGGGTGAGTCGCTCTGAGTGGGGTGGGGGAAAGAACAAAGATCAGAGTTCTAATCTTTGCTGTGTAATGTTGGGGGAATCTGGAACCCACCTTGAGCCTCTTTCCACATCAGTGAAAGGAGGGGACTGGGTGGCCAGGCTAGGGTCTGGGAAGTGAGCCAGCCCTCTGGCATCCCTTGACCTGGAGTTTCTGGACACGCGTGATGCCCCAAGACCCCTCCGGTTGTTCCACATTCTAGCTCCCTTGCTGGACTGTGCTGCTGCCTCTGCCCTGGTGTTGTTCCTACATGTGGCCAACAGGTGGCAGTGCTGCCCAGTGCAGGTTTGCCTAGGCTAGAGCCCTGGGGAACTGGGGGGGTCAGTGTGGGCTGAGGATTGGTGCTGTTGCAGGTGTGGGCGCTTTCTGGGCCTTCCCCTCCCCACATACATTGTGGGAAAAGGCCTCATGCCCCCTATCGGTCTATCAGGGAGTCCCCCGCAGCATCAAGAGCCCAGACTTGGGGTAGCAGCTCTTTAGCCCTGGTGCAAGGCCAGAAGAGGGCAGTCCCATTGGGAGGGCAGCATCAGCTCCCAGCCCAAACCCTGGGACAGGCCAAGGAACTGGGGCTGGGGGGAGTGGAAAGGCCCTGTTCAACCTCTTACAGATATGGACACTGAGGCCCAGAAAACAGAAGAGACTTGCCCAAAGTCATGGAGAGGGTGCCTGCCCTAGGTTCCCTGCCAAGAAGTGGGGCTGAGGGGCAGAGAAGCGATAGGGGACTGAGGGAGAGGGACTTAGGTCCTGCAAGGAAGCAGATAGAATGACCCCAGCTCCAAGGTCATGGGCATCGCTCTCAGGGGTGGCTGAGAAAGTGGAGGGCCTATCTTGGGTCCAAGGAGCCTCTGTCCACCCAAATCCACGCCATGGAAGGAAAGGCTTTGCCAGACTGCGTCCCCCATTGCTGGGGGGTGGCGAATGAGGTCTCAGGCTGGAGCTGGCACACAAGATGTGGGTCCCAGCTGAACCACGCCCTGCTCATGGGTGCTGGCCAGCATATCAGCACACACCCCCTCCCCCCAGAGCACACCAGAGGCACCCAATGCACCAATACGTGCCACACAAAACAGACCCCCTCCCCCGCCACGGGCAGCCCATTGCATTCTGGGATAGCTCAGACATTGAATTCTAATTTGCCTCTTTGCAGCACCTTCCCTACATCCTCCCACAATTTAATGTGCTCTTCCACATAGCAGCCTAGGACTTCTGTTCTTCAGCCTACCCAGCCCCAGCTCCTTCAGCTTGTGCTCATATGGCCTGCACTTGAGCCCCTGAATGCAGCTACCCTCCAACATTAATTTGGCAAAGAGCCAGAGAAACCTGAAGGCGGGAGGGGGGAGGGGCAGTTGTGGGGAAGGGCCCCCTCCTCCCCAGAAGGGCCCTTCTACCAGTGCCAGCCCCTTCTATTGGCACCTTCATTATGGCAGGCAGGGAGAAGTGCCCAGCTCAGAACTCAGAGAACCCTGGGCCAAGCCACTACTGTCCCCTCTGATGAATGGTTTATAGCAGGGGCCTACCCTTAATGCTGTGGGGAGTCTAAACCCGGTAGTGTGACCACCCCATTGCAGACACCACAGGGACACAGCCTGGCATTATCGGCCCAACTTCATCCCCCTTAATCTGCTGTCCTGGACACCTTGCTTAAGTGGCATAAGCCCACCTCCGTCATTAGGATCTCCAGGGCTTAGGGCCTCTTTGACCCCCAATCTATCTGAGGCTGTTTGTCTCCCTTCTCTCTCTGGCTCAGGTGACCCCTGGTGGCTAAGGTCAGGATCTTCCCATCCATCAGGCTGCTCCCAGGCTTCCACTGACCTCTCACCCCAGACCTGGGCAGCTCAATGGTAATTGGGTTTGGACTTGGCCCAGATGGGAAAGTGGCGCCTGTGACCCTTTGGGGTGTGTGTGGAGCTGGATGACTGCAAATGTTTGGTTTTTTGGAGGCAGAGGGCAAAGCAGTGCAGTCCCTGGGGTGACACCCTCCCCCCATGGCTAGTGACCTCATGGCTTCCATTCTACAGATGAGCAAACACGTACAGATAGGGCAAGGAGTTGGCCTGGTTATATGTTGAGCTAGTGGCTGTGTGAGGGGCTGTCAGTTGCCCAGTCAGGAGCATTGTGGGGCACTGCCGGGCATTCAGACGCCCCTCTCACTGGCCTGGGCT